TTTATTATTTGGAACATAAGGGGAGGGAACAATGAAAAATTCAGACGTAACTTCGGAGAAATAGTAGATACCCACAGACATAAAAATAAAGGACTCATTATGGAAAGAATCGATAAAGTGTTAGGTAATGAGGAATGGATTGATCTATTCCCTAAAAGTTCTATTATCCACCTTCCTAAGACTTATTCGGATCATAACCCTATTCTAGTAGAATTGATCCCTAAAGATAATTCTTACCACAAGCAACCCTTTACACTTGAAACCTTCTGGTGCAAACATCCAGAATTCCAACCCTTAGTCCAAAATAATTGGTCTAATACTGATTACTTGAGGGCTAGCCAAAATTTCTTAGATAAAGTTAAGGTTTGGAAGGTAAAAACCATTGGTGATATAATGGGTAAAAAAAGAAAGTTTCTAGCTCACCTTCAAGGAATTCAAAACTCCAAACATTATCCCTATAGTATCTTCCTCCAAACCCTAGAAACTAATTTAAAAAGAGAATACAATGACTTGCTCAAAATCGAAGAAGATTATTGGAAGATAAGATCTAGGGTTATGTGGATAAATGAGGGAGATGCCAACACAAAGTTCTTCCACATCTCAGCCTCTAATAGGAAAAGAAGAAACAAAATTAACTTCTTTAAAGATGATGAAGGAAATCGGATCAATGAACCCCATCTAGTTATTTCGCATGTCCTTAATTATTTTACCAATACTTTCACTACCTCTCAATCCAAGACAAGCTGGATTAGTCCTCTAAAAAACATCTCTACATTTAACCTTTTAAACCTAAGTTCTCTTGATAACCCTTTGCTTGATATTGAAATCAAAAGGGCTACTTTTTCCTTTAAACCCTTCAAAGCACCGGGACCGGATGGCCTTCACCCCTTTTTTTTCCAAAAATACTGGGAAATTATAGGACCCTCAGTTATAGACTTGTGTCATAACATTTTTCAAAATCAGGAGATCCCCAAGGAAATTAACAGAACCTACCTTTGCTTAATACCAAAAATCCCAAATGCAAATAACATTAGAAATTTTAGACCAACTGGCCTTTCCTATACCATTTACAAATTAATCACTAAAATCCAGGCAAATCGTCTCAAATCCTTCCTTGAACAGCTTATTAGCCCCTTTCAAGCCAGTTTCATGAAAAATAAAAGGGCCTCTGATAATGCTATTATCATACAAGAAATAGTTTCCATGTTACAAAAATTAAAAGGAAAGCAAAGTCACATGTTCCTTAATATTGACCTAGAAAAAGCATTTGATCGATTAGAATGGTCATTTGTCCATCACACATTAACATACTTCAACTTCCCTCCAAAAGTCAAAAAATTGCTTTTAAATTGCATATCAACAAGTTCCATAGCAGTTCTTATTAATGGTTCCACTACTACCTTTTTTGAACCAAGCCGGGGAATCAGGCAAGGGGATCCTATATTCCCCTATATCTTCATCCTTTGTCTAGAAATGCTGTCAAGATACATAAACTATCTAGTTGATATTAGACATTGGGATCCAATAACCATAGGGAAAAAAGTCCAAAATTTTCTCACTTATTCTTTGCGGATGATCTTACCCTTATGGCCAAGGTCAATATGAAATCTCGTCATGCCATCCAGAAAGGATTAGATCTTTCTTATGACCTATCAGGGCAATGTATTAACACTTCTAAATTCAAAATTATCTTTTCTAACAATTGTCCCCAAACTCTCATTAAGGAGGTCACCAATAGGTTGGGTATTAAAAGAAGTGATTCCTTTGGCATCTACCTAGGTTTTCCTATATTAAACAAACACCCTAGACCAAAAGACTACCAAATCATAATTGACAAAATGAGAGCCAATCTAACGGCTTGGAAAATAAAATTCATCAATATAGCTGGACGGACAACCTTATCCCTAGCTTGTCTAAACTCAATCCTAAACCATTATATGCAATACACCTTACTCCCTACAAAAATTCTTAACAAAATTGACAAAGTACAAAGGGACTTCATATGGGGAACCACCAATGAGAGGAAAAGAATTCACCTCATCAAATGGTCTACTATTTGTCAATCTAAAAGCAAGTGAGGCCTTGGACTCCACAGTGCACAGGACAAAAACCTATTCACTCTTGCTAACCTAGTATGGAGACTCCTTACAAACGCTACTACTACATAGGCAAACCTAATCATTAGTAACTATGCAAATAGTTATGCCATAAGCAAAAGTTCTTTCATTTGGAAAAGCATTCAAAAGGGTTGGGATTTATGTTTCAAAGGTATTATTTGACTGCCCCACCATCAATCAAACATGATCATTTGGGAAACCTATTGGATTCCTAATTTAGGAGGTCTTAGGAAAACAATAGAGGGCCCCTTGTTAAATACGGATTACTCACTAAAAATAAAAGACATCTTTGATGGTAAAAATTGGAACTTTAACAATATATCCTTCAACATTCCCAATGAAATCAGGGACAACATCCCAAGGTTAAAATCCGTCTCAAAAGACCAATTAGTGATATTCCAATATGGCCTCTCCCTACAAAAGGTGTCTTTACGACCAAGACTTGCTACACTATCATGGAATCAAATACAGACGGGCAAATTGATTTCAAATGGATATTGGAACTAACATGCCCAAATAAAATTAAGTTCTTTCTATGGAAATGCCTCCATAATAAGATTCCCTGTAGGAAATACCTAGAAAAAATCGGTTTAAATATTGACCCAACATGCCCTATATGCAAATGTAATGAAGAGGAATCCATAATCCACATTTTCTTTAACTGCAAAGCCATTAAACATTTTTGGGACAATACTAGATGGCAAAATTTCTATAAGGAGAAAGGTGATCACTGGCTCATTCAGCTAAAAAGTTTTGACTACCCAATAAAAAACAAGTTTCTAAATTGGAATCTCTTTTTCCCTTTTACTATCTGGCACATTTGGTTAACTAGGAATAACAACAACCAAAACAATACGAAAAACCCTATCAATATTAACCATATTATTGCTAGGGCCACTGAATTTCGTCTCTTAACCGAAAAAAGTATACTGACTTCTCCAAAAATCCACATCAATATTAAATTATATAGACCTCCAAAGAGATGGTTCAAACTAAACGTAGATGCCAGCTTTAATAAAACTCGCAAAAATGTGGACTGAATGGTGTGATCAGAAATGCCAATGGACATTGGATAATTGGCTTTGCAAAACCAACTCATGCACGTGGTTCATTACATGCTGAAATCAAAGCATTGCTAGCAGGACATAAAACAGCTCATATTTGGGGAATGTTCCCTCTCCAAATCGAAACTGACTCGACGGAGGTAATCCTATCAATCCAACAAGGTAATAGACTTTATGCTAACATTATCAACAAATGCAGGCTGTTAATGTACCAACAGAAGGAAGTAACCATCCAGCACGCGTTCAGGCAAGGGAATAACGTAGCTCATCAAATGGCAAAGAAGGCAGCTGCTGATATAATGAAGGAGAAAGTTCTTGTGGAACCACCATATGATGTAAAATATTTAGTGGAAAGTGACTTACTAGAACAATATGTTTTTGAAAAATTCCTATTTTATGATGCTTGCAAAAGTTTAGCAAGCCTAGGTAATCAAAGTGTCATATGTGACACTAACTATGAAAGTCATATACTGCATGTTCCTTAACTTTTATATATTTCCTGTTTGCTAAAAAAAAAAAAAATACAACAACCAAGCATATTGCTAATATTATAGAAATGGGAGTTCAAAACTGTACGAACATGAGTAATTTGGGAATTGGTGTTATTTTTCAAGGGTATTTCGGTATTTGGGTTTCAATTGCAGCCCTCTCATTTTCGTCTTCCAGGCGACACGTGTTTAACAGTGTCATTTGTCTTGGACAACTGGCTATCACTTCTATTTTCACCTCTATTTCTCATATATTTTCTCGTTTCATTTTTACTTGGTAGTTTGGTGCATTTGCATGAAGATTTTGTTTTTGTCCTTTCACTGTAAGAGGTCTTTGTTTTCTATAGATAATTAAACCCTTCAAAACTACGTTAAAAAGCTGTCTTTGACAGTGAAATATCAAGAAGATCCATTGATTTGTCAAGGGTAAGTTATGACATCTTACATATATTAAAGGAGAGATATTTCTCCAACGATGAGTATCTAAAGAAATTGAGAAGTTGGTACGTGAGATTACATTGTCATCTACTTGATTTTTTCCTGATTTTCCTTTTCTTAAATGTTATGTATCTTATTTTGTTTGAATGAATGTATCTTAATTTATTTGAGTGAATTTGCTTTTAATTTTTAGGCGAAAAAGACTAGGACTTCGTGCCTTTAGATCAACTATGCTAAATTAATTCAAAATACCTTAATACCCCCTAAATTTGACACGAATTATTAGTTACAGCCTTAAATTATTCTTGGTATTAATTACCCCTCAACTTGGCCTTATTTTTACTTTTTCATATAAAATATGTAAAACAAAAGATATTTTTAGAACTCCATAATTTAGAGCTATATAAAAAATTATAGCCAAAATAATGAATTTCAAAATAATAAAGTTCAAAATACACAATTGAAATATATTATGCTCAGGTATTTTTACTTTTTTAGGTAATATATATATATATATATATATATATATATATATATATATATTAGAGCACCATAGTTTAGAGCTAAATAAAAAATTATCGCCTAATAGTTAATTTCGAACTATGTATGTTTTATTACTTTTTAGATGCGTTGACTATTTATTTCAATTGCATAAATCTTTATTTTTAAGTCAAATTAAAAAAAAGATTAACTAAAATTTTATTATTTTTAGCCAAATAAATCTTTTTAGCCTAAATAATGTAGTTCTATGCAAGTTTTATTATAAATTGTATTCGAAAAAAATTATCTAAAAAAGTAACATACTCAAAAAGGTAAAAATATATTTTATTTTTTTAAAAAAAATGCCACATATACAGAAAAATTCAAGTGGCAGGCGAGTGCACCCACACTCTTTGCCACATCAGCGTCCAGGGGAGGTAATGGCTCTCAAAAGGCAAGTTGAGGGGAGTAAGTAAGACTACAAGTTTAAGGCTGTAACTAATAATCCGTGTCAAGTTTAGGGGGGTGTTAAGGTATTCTGCCTTCTTTTTATTCTCTTTTCAGTTTGACAGATATTGGATTCTTTTGCGCTTTCAGCTTTTACTTGAAATTGGGAGTCATCTATCAGCTGGTTTTTCTTATGATTTTCTATAGCACTTGAACATGAAATGCGATTTCTCTATGTTTATTCACTTTCAAGGGGTACTGTTTCTATTGTTCTTAAATTGAAATGCAATATGAAAAATATTTAATAGTTTTCTTAATTTGATTTAAGCCTTTTGTGCTTTGTGGGCTCATAATTTAGATGCATGCATTTTGTCATCCAATTACAATATTCTCCGATATAGATGATTGTCTGCATCTGCTGCATTGCTTTATTGGTTTTGCAGGGAAAGAAAGCTGGTCAATTTCAGTCGCTAGCTACTACAAGTTAATTGCTTGCATCCAAGATGGAAGATATGGATGCTCCTTTTACTGTTTATTTGCAGGTTACTTAAATTTATCAACAGGTGATATGCTTTCTCTAATTGTAATAGTTGAATCTATATGATAAAGATGCTTGTGTTTTAGCTTTAAATGGGTGTATTTTGATGTTATAGTGACATTAGTACCTTGCTCTTCTGTTAATTTCTTTTGTGGTTACTTTTTTGCTACTCAAAAGGCCAAAACAAATGGTAATTTTGGGTATTACATGAGCTTGCGCATCTTTAACGGTGGAGGCAGAAAAGGCATCTTTTAGATGCTCTAGAGCTTTATGTTATGTTGATAATGAATTGACAGTAGTAGAAGCATGCGGTAAAATTGGACTTTTTCTCAATGGATTTTAGTGTTGCTATTTTATGGTGGTTCAATGTAAGGCCAAGGATGACTGCAATTTCCAGAAGATGTCATTCATTTTGTGCTCCAGCATTCTTGCCATGTCCAGTTAGTAATGAGTAAGTATTTCTTTTATTTTTACTGGTATTGGTTGGCTGTTGCACCTAAAAGCCTTTTGTGGGTATACACAGCTGGTGAAAATAAATAGCTTCTCATTATAGCATGTCAAGCAAGTGAGAATGAAATTGAATAAAGATAACAGCTTCCTTAAAAGCTAAATCTGTTTAGCGTTGGTGAAGGGTGAAGCATGTTAAAGGGTAGGTTGCTCCAGTATTAGATTAATGGAGAGTTAACTGACATAAAAAGAAAATGGGATTGACAAATTTAGTCGTGGAGATAAATAGAATTTCTTGATGATTGATCTGGTAATGTGATAGAAAGAATTTTTTTTTTTAAGAGGAATCATGTAATTGTTAAAAGTAACTGCGTTTAAGAAGAATCCTAACATGAGGTTGAGCTAAAAAAATTCCTGACCTCTTAATCTTAAAAAACTTTTGGACAATATACATGTTCTGAGTAATGAGTTTACCTTTCCTACTAGGTTCCTTTGCTTATTATATTGGTGAGTGACCTCTTAATCTTGAAAAACTTAGTATGTTTAATCTATGTATCCTTGCATTTATCTTCTCAAGGAACTAGTAAAATGAAATTGATACAGATTTTGCTTATGATAAGGAATCTATGACCATTTTTATAGTGAATTAGATGGGATTAAAATATTTTCGAGAATTATGGCAACAAACAGAAACTACGAATGACCATGTCAACTGAATTTCAGCCTATGGAAAATAAGAAAGATTATGGCATTGAATGTGTATGAGCTTTTACTGATGGTTTGGATTTCTTTCTCATCTGTATAGAATTTAAAATTCAACGGGTTACTTTGTTGACTTCTCTGTACATTGTTTAAAAGGCTGCGTTTCATTGAAGATGATTCACTTGTTTGCTTAGATAGTTGACCATTTTCCCTGCATACGTTTATACAACTATTATTCATATGCTCTTTTTCTCCGGAAACCATCTTATTTTCTTGTGGATTCCTTTGGACCGGACATGTAATTTGGAGAAAACATTGTCAATCTGCAATTTGAGACACATCTTCTATGCTAACTCAATTGCCAATGGAAAAGTATAGAGTATAATTTTAAAGGACTCAGAGTGGTACAGGGCCTTAGCTCTTCAATTGTGCTCTCAAGGTAGATTTCTTGGCCTAGGATACAATTCACCCAAAATGAGTTTTTATTTTTTATTTTTTATTTTGTTATGGTTAAACGAGCAAAAATGATGGTCATTTGTCTTAGTTGACAACAACAACAATGAAATTCTACAAGTGGATTTCCGGGAGGGTAGAGTATACGCATACCTTACACCTACTTTGTAGAGGTAGAAAGACGGTTTCCGATAGACCCTCGTGTCACGACCCAAACCGATATCACGCGACGGGCACCCGGTACCTTACTCAACCGAGTACCAACATAACGTATTTTTTCATGTCATACTATCATAGATAACTGAGCCGCAAGGCTGCCGTGAGATAAGTAGAATACAACATGTGATACCAACATATACATAAGACATACGGACCTATAAGACTAAAATAACCACTCGTATACTGAACATAGGCCGACAAGGCCATACAATCTTTTACGTACATGACATCTGTCTACACGCCTCTAAGAATACATAATTTTCATAAAGGTCGGGATAGAGTCTTACCATACCAAACAATACACGTCTAAGTCATACTAACCAAACAAGCAACTCCGAAGCAAATGGAGCGCACCAACATCTTTCGCTGAGCTGATAGCCTACTTGGAGGGCTCTCGACCTGTCTATTGGGACCTGTGGGCATGTAACGCATCGTCCCTAGGAAAAAGGGACGTCAATACAAATAATGTACCGAGTATGTAAGGCACATAAATAAGTACATAACAGACATGGAAGAAATATAGAGTAAATGACTCAACTTGTAAGTCTAGATAACTCTGTAATTCATGAAATAATTATAGTGTCATGCATATACGTATGAATGTCATGTCGTGCATAGGTACATGTGTTTGTAACATCATCAAGCTTCTAAGGGCATCTCATCATATCATCTCGGCCACTGTGGGCAAAATCATCAACGTATACCAGCAGATCAGGTGGTAGTGCGTATATAATGGCATAACCTTTCCCATATCCCATATACATATACATACATACATGCATATACATATACATATACATATATATACATATAACACCATTTGGTCATGGGTCAATGTGCATGTATAAATTCATGAAATGCATATGAAATACGTTAATAAAATCTCTCGGTATGTCATAAGACCATTATGCCTCTGATTAATACCATGAAATAAACTTTACCAACTTACGTATTTTTGAGGCCCATGAACAGATGATAGAATAATATGACAGATGGGGAGTCAAGAACATAAGCATCTCTTGTATTTCTATGAATAGAGTCATTTATGGAAGTTGTGCATTTGCTCGTTTCGTTTGTGTCATATAGATCATGCCAAAAAGAAAGAAGGAATAGCCTTAACATATCTGGAGTAGGGAAAAATTCGTATGATATTTCTAGAAAAGGTTGCACAGTATTCCCTTAGAATCGCAAATTCTCACGTTGCTAATGATTTTAATAATTCTCGTTGGATTTTTTGTGTGTAGGAAGTTGAAGAATCACGTTGCTAGTGCAAGGTTTAGAATCTGATTTGAAGTGTTTTTGAGAATGAAATTTGTTGAAAGGTTATAAGAATGGCTAACGTTTGATGTAGTGTTCTTGTATTCAAGACTTTAGAAATGAAATGTCTTTTAACTATCATACTAAGTTGCCACTTAATCAACAATGACTAAGAGTCATTTGTTTGATTTAGTGGTTTGCTGCCACGTGGGGGTGGGGTAGGGATTTTGATCTTATCCATTAATTAATTAACTAATTAGGTAATATCCTGCTATCCGGTAATTGACCAATTACCCGCATAATTAAGAATTGTCTTAAATTACTTAAAATTTTACTTATTTTTAATACACTCTATACATCCTACTATCATGGTCATATGGTATCTTGTATGGTACTAGTCCATAAATATCGGATATTATCGCTCGGCCCGCATTTTATCCCGATATGCCAAACTTGGACAAAAATTTATTTTCTTTGACTTGCTTCCCCTCTCATCCTCATGAATTTAGTCATCACTTGTTTGATAACATGATGCTTATAACCTCAAAATAATCCCATTCCCGAACTTACGTCGATTAATTGAATACGAAACGAAATTGCGGGATGTAACATCATTCCCCCCTTTGGAACATTCGTCCTCGAATGTTGACTGATGTACTTATCATTTTCATAACCTATGGCTCTTGCGAATAGTTTAGTACTCTCCTTGCCATCTAGGCAACTGTCCTGTGAATAAATCCAAAGGCCAGGGCATTTCCCCCTTTAGGTCTCTTTCCCACACCATGACTTGTGATCGAAATCCTTCTAATCTCGTAACTATTGTTACCTTCTATCATGCAGCCTCTATGATACTGACCTTGTAAATGTGTCTATGCGACTTTTCTCTCCTTTTTCCTCCTGTTTTTAGCCAATCTCTAGGCCGTACTTTGTAAACATATACAGAGCTTAATAAGATGTCTCTCTGGACATCTATAGGTATACTGAAGTTCTTCGCTCGGTACCTTGTAGAACTTGCGAATATTACTATATCTTATTTCATAGACCCAGTTATCCATTCGTATGACTTTACTGCATCTACATAGGTCATACTATACCATAACTCTTACTTCGATTTATCGTTACTAAGGTCTGCAACCAACTCCAGGTTACTCTCGTTGCTTATCCTTAAGATTGATTGTCTAATCTCATCTCACACTGTTGAACTTTTATTCATCTATTTTTGATTCACCTTAATATTGATCCATCATCTACCACTGATAACTTGATCTCTTATGTAACACCGCCGCTAGGGCTCGCGTCTTATCGGGGACATCCGGAATAATTAGATTGATCCACCTAGGGGTGATACTATACTTCCATAACCGTACTTTATAGCATCCCAATGTGACTCACCCTATATGGGTATTTTAGCCCCTTACAATTCATGAAATCCTCTTCAAGTCATTACTCAATTGAAAGCCCAAACGTCATCCTTTATCTATCACAATCACGCCCTTATTCCACTACCAGGGCAGTATTCCATCTCTTCTAAATGCTACTAGTCTTAGACTCCTTTGAGTTCATTCTGGCTATACTGAGCCTTCTATAACTTAGAGAACCCATCAGCTCTCTTATTTTCATGAGCTTAATCCCAAGGACTTATCCATTCTTGTCACCTTTTCACTTACCTTTTCTTATCCTTACTCCTGTCTTCCTAGAACCTTGTCGTTCTACCATACTTTAGCTTGCGACCTACACATATCTATTTATACTTGTTCGTAACCATCCTTCAACCTGCTTGCACCATAGTTTTCCTTATGTTATTCTGGAACATCAAGCGAGACATCACATCGTCTCTAACTCTTCTTTACTCTCTTGACTAGATCTCTCGGTACTTTGAAACCATAGGTTGGAAGGTACGCCATTGATGATGTTACTATCATTCCTGGATATTGAATCCTAGTGCTTCTAGCCTTCTATCCGAAGCATGGACTATTCACGATCTTCTGCCTTTGAGTATCTTGTACGTTGTTCACCTTTACCTTATTTATCTTAAAGTCTCGAATCGTATCTTTTATCT